GGGGGAACGGCAGCGCCCTGGCAGCAGGGACCTGCGTCCCTAGGGGCTTTGGTCACCCCGCAACTCCGCAGTGGGAACGCGGCAGAGCCATCGGGTGCAGATGACCCTGGCTAAAAATAAGCTGTCTGCAGTTGTGGCCCTGCCAAGGAATTCGGAAAATGAACAACCAGGAAGGAATGCTGGCAGCGATGTCAGCGCTGCGAGGACAGGGAGCAGGCAGGCTGCTGGGCCTCAGCACCCCACTTCCCTGGGCACACAGCAGCCCAGGACACGGCCCCATGGGCAGACGCAGCCTTGCAGACCCCCACAATTGGGTCCCATTGGGTAATCTGCTACAGCTTAGCTGTTCGGCACAGGGATGGAGATGTGCTCGAGGTGTAGCAGACGAGGATGGAAACGGGCAGTCCTGATTCTGCCATTCCTCCACACCGTGCCCAGCTCCATGAGCAGGACAGGACGGTGCACACTGGTGCCTGCTGGGTACCAGCCCCCGCAGCACGGTGTGAGGGCTGCGATGCGATGTGGCAGGGGGTCACTCACCGCTCCGAGCCACTGCTGATGCGGGTGGGCTGACTCAGGCTCACCTCCAGGGATGCCTGCAGAGGAAGGAGAGACGTCTCACTCCCCGCTCACTGCCCAGCACCCCCAACCCATCTCCTCACAATGACCGCATGTCTCTGGATCCAAAGGGAAGGGCTCACGTCCCGGGAGCACGCATGGCTGCAGCTAGGGCACCCCTCAGGGCAGCCACGGGTGCGCTGGCCGCGTATCCTCAGCTCACCCCAGCAGGCTGAATACCGTGCAGAATTGCACAAGGTCAGTGCTGAGTAATACGCTTACGGCACAAAGTCCCATTGTAATGGGGCCGCTGACTTCCTGCCCGCGGCAGTGGGACGCTGAGCAGGGAAGTCCCTGGCCCTGCAGCGGGATGGGGATGGTTCCTCCTTGTGTGACACGACTCCATGTTGATGGAGCCACACACGTGACTGCCCCACGCACATGCTGGGACATGAGGCACTGCCTCGGTACCAGCCGGCACCACGCCGGGCAGGGTGCAGGGATGCGGTGGCATGGGCAGGATGGCCTCAGGAGGTGCACAGGCACTACTGCCAGCTGCAGCCTGATGGGGGAAGACGCAACCAAGTCAGAACACACTGCAGAATGCCAAGAAAAAGAGACAGCTGCTAAAATTAGCAGTGGGGACGGGGAGCAGGAGCTGCCCCAGGTATTGCTGCACGAGGGCAGGATCGGGCACCGCTGATCTGTGGCATTAAGGGCATCTGCCATGAGCAGAAGCACTCTGTGCATGGGGATGGTGTCCCCCAGAGCTGTGCCACCCCTCGGGCAAGGAGGGCTCTGTGAGCTCCTGCATGGCTGGGCCGCGGGGATGGTGCCCAGCACCTCTCGTGACCCACAGGACGGCTCCTTCTCAGGGCTATAAATAACCAGAGAGGAGCCACCACGGCCAGGCCAGCTGCTCCCACGCTCCCAGGAAGAGGCAGCCACACCACAGGCTGACGGGGACCCCACAGCCACAGGGCAGGCAAAGGGCTCCCCAGGGACCTGGCGTCACAGCCACACATGCCAGACTCAACCTCTGGAGCCAGCACAGCCCGTGGGACGCAGGAAGTCCCAGAAGGCTTCTGCTGCTGCTGTGCCCTTGGCACCAGCTCTAGTGCCCAGCAGGTCTATCTCCAGCCCTGCCTCCCTACCCCTGCCCTGGAGGTGCTGCTGAAGGTATCCCTTGAGAGCCAGGATCTGCTGCAGTGAGGGCACCTGGGCTGCCTGCAGCCCTTCACGGTCAGAGCACCCCAGCAGCAATAAGACCACACTGCAAACCCCAATGCAGGGCAGAGAGGGGCTGCAGTGAGCTCGGCTGCACTCTGCCCCACAGCCCCTCTCGGCAGCGATTCAGCCCTGCAGCTCCCAGCCTCCCCCCACTATCCCTCGTGCAGCCTGGCGGGAGGGAAGCATTGGCTTCCGCCGCGCCGCTCCGCTTCCCTGAGCAGAGGAAGCAGCCAGAGCAGGGAGATCTGGAAGGAGAGATGTGCTGAGAGCAGCCCTGCAGCGCTGCCTGGACCCAGGGCTGCGCAGAGCCGACGGGGACCCCGCACCAACCTCACCCTCTACCGCAGCACAGAGCGGGATCCCGCGCCAGGCTCTGGCTCCACGGCTCTGCCCCGAGAAGCAGGCATGGGAAGCTCCGCTCTCCACGCATACGCTCCGGATTTGGCTGCGCTCTATCACTCCATAGGCGCTCCGGTTCCCCCCGCGCTGCCAGGGCACCGGGAACAGCCCAGGGGGCAGCAGCCAACGCCACGGCGCACGCGGCACCGAGCAAAGGACGGCGGGTACGGTCCAACAGACGGGAGCCGCGGTGCCAGCCCTGCTCGGCCGCATGGCCGGAGGCAGCTCGGGCTCTGGGAGCACCCGCAGCCCGAACTAATGGGAACGTGGCGCCAGGCGCCGCGAATTGTGAGAAAAGCAGCCAGGCTGCCTCCCCCCGGGAGGGCGGGAGAGACTCTGCCCCCCGGGACCCCTACCGCCTCCGGCCCCCGCAGACGCGGACCCCGAACACCGGGCAGACCCGGGCCCCGACCTCTTCACTCGGGCAGGGTCACGTCCCCGCCGGCCCCGGCACCGCGGCTCAGTCGCTGGAGGCGCACCGAGTTCAGCACCAGCCCGAGCACCGCGCAGCCCCCGGCGGCCAGAGCTCGCCCGCCAGCCCCGGCGGCTCCGATCTCAGCGCCCCGCAGAGGGGACGCGCCAAGGGCAGCCCGGCCCGCGGGCCCCGGCGCACCCCGAGCGAGGGGAGGACGTGCCCGGGCAAGCGGCGGCAAGGAGCGGGGCCGGGCGGCCGCTGCCGGGAACCGCCGGATGCGCTCGCGGCGTCCCCGCCACGGGGCCCGCTCCGAACCCCCTCTGTACGGGTGGCCCGCGCGGCGGGTCGGGCTCCGGGCCCCGCTGAACCGCGGGCCGGGGCCGCGCACCGGGAGCGGGGCGGGTGCAGCGCGAAGAGGCGCGGCGCGGGGCGGCCTCGGGCCGGTCCGAACCGAACCGCGCACCGCGACCGCTGGCGTCCGGTGCCGCTCGGACCCACCCGGTCTCCCTGGGCGCGGAGCTCGAAGGACGCCTCCTCCTCGGCCTCGCCGTCCGCCTCCCGCTCCGCCTCGCCGTAGTCGCGCCGCAGCAGCGTGAAGCCCTGCCGGCAGCACAGCAGCCACCAGAGCCCGCCGGGGAACGGCATCGCCCCGCCGGGCCCGGCTCCCTTCCCGCGTCGCGCTCCGGCCGCCGCCGCCGCCCCGGGCGGGCCGGTCCGGCCCCGTCACGGACGTCCGCCAATCGCCGCGCGCGGCCCGGGGCGGAGCGAGGCTCCCGGTACAACGGGCCGCCGTTTGCGTCATCCGCCGGACGGGGGCGCGCGGCCGAACGGGGCGGCGGTCGGCGCCGGGACCGCGCGGTGGGCGAGAGCGGCCGCGGGCGTCGCTTTGCGCCGGGGCTGCGGCGCGGTCCGGCCTTGGCGAAGCAGCGCTTTGCGCCGGGCGGGGAGCCGCGGGCGCGTGGTGTCACACAGCGCAGCTGGCAGCGTCCCGTCCCGTCAACGCGCCGCAGCCCCAGCCCAGGAGGGCCCGGAATGCCGGTGCCGCGTGCGGGGCGCAGCTCCCACGTTGCACGGAATGACGCCACCCCACTTCCACCGGCGCGGCCCTTTCACCCCTCGGTGCCAAGGGCACGTTTGGTGCTCTCACAGCCGCGGTTGCACCGTGCGCACGATGCGGGCGCGGGGTCACGGCCCGTTCTGCCAGCGCCGTCACCTCGGCTGCTGCAGCACCGGAAGGGTTAAAGCATCCGCCCGGCTCTCCGGGAGCCGCTGGGACCGGGCCGTGCAGGCAGGAGCCGCCAGCTCGCCTCCCACGCACCGCCAGCCCCGAGGGGCCTCGGGGAGGGAGTGGGGCCACTGCTGCGGGGCAGAGCAGCAGCTGCGGGACCGGCGTGGTGCCCGCGGTGCAGGGAGGTACGGCGCGGCCGTGGGGCAGCCCGAAGCTGGGCAGGGAGCTGGGAGTCCGCGGGACACGGGTGGTCGGTGCAGCAGAATGGGGGCTGCGAGGGGATGGGGGCCCTGCGGTGCTGAGTCAGTGGTAATTGCGTTTCTGCCCAGAAGTAGGCGAAGGGTCCGAGCTTCCCAGTATGAGCTGGGCTGATTACAGAGCGTGTGGGTGAGCGGGAAGAGGTCTCCAAACCCAGAGATGGGGAGGCATCGCCCCCCACACAGAAACCCTCGGTGTCAGAGCCAGGGGGAACCGACCCGGGGCTCAGAACCACCCCCTCGCAGGGAAGCTTGAACTGCCCCTGCAGACCCTGGATCTGCTGCTCTGGGCGCTCTGTGCTGGCATTGTTCAGCCCTGCCGGGAGGCCGAACACAACAGGAGCAACCGCCCTGTGTGGAATGCTTGGAGCCACTGGGATGGACCTGCTGGGGCCAAATCTCGTGGGGAAATGAGAGGAGAGGAAGGGAGAGGAAAACCCCTCTCGCCCATCGCCCTGGGGGCGATGTTTCCAGCCTGAGCCGGAGCAGGATTTTCCCGAGGATCACACTGCTGGCCCCGGGGGGTTTTCCGACCCCTACAGCCCCAGTGTGGGTCTGTGGGCTCCATCGCCGCCTCTGCCCTGCTGGCGATGTGGAGGCTGTGACAAACCCTGCTGGAGTGCGGCTAGGCCGTTCCCATCGCGTGACTGAGGGTCCCAACCCCGTCTCGGGCAGACGCGGTCAGGCCCCGCAGCGTCGGGCAACTGGCAGGACAGGAAACGCTGGGTTCTGCTGCCTCCTGCAGGCATCCACCGACCACTGCCGCGGCGCTTCCCCTGCTTCCTGCCGCCTGCCCGATATCGGCCTCGGTACCTACGGCAGCTTCTGCTCCTCCACCCCGGAGAGTCCCCGGCCGCGCAGAGATGTGGCCTGACGCAGCGCAGTTCGAGCAGGGTTTATTGCAAGGGTGGAAACGAAGGTGGAAGGCGCTGCCCTGTGGCATTGCAGTCCCACTCACACAGTAATGCACGGTCCTACTGGGGCATGCATGGCACTGCATGGTGCCCTTGTGGCGTGCACCCCCAACCACTTGTGACATTGCATGGTCTCCCTGCAGCTGGGCACGTTTCCCCAGTGCTGGCACTGGGCTCTGCACACGAGGCGTCGTCTCCATCTGCCCAGGACACAGTCTGTCTGTCCTGCCCTTATCAGTAGCTCCAGGGACTCCTGGGGCCATTCAGGCTTTCTCTGGGGGGTTTTGAGTCCCACGGATGCTGCCGCCTGCCCTGGGCACGGCACTACATTCCTATGCCACATCTTGGCAGGTGGAGAGTGATGAGCGCTGGCGAGGACTGGGGCAGCCGGGGCAGCGCGGGTCGATGTTCCCCACACAGCCGGCATCGCTGGCCAGCAGCCACAGCTCGCGGCGGAAGCGCTGGCCCAAGAAGGCATAGAGCAGTGGGTTGAGGCAGCAGCGCAGGGATGCCAGCCCGCTGGTGACCAGCAGCGCCAGGTCCTTGCGGCGGCTCTGTGCGCAGCTCAGCTCCCAGCTGGCCAGCAGCTCGGCTGTGTCCAGCAGCACCATCAAGCTGTAGGGCAGCTGCAGGGCCACAAACACGAGCACAAGGGCCAGCAGCACCCTCAGCGCCCGGTGGGGCTGAGCACCACGAGCCGCCAGCAGCGTCCGAGCCACAGCCGTGTAGCAGCTTGCCATCACCGCAAAGGGCACGGCAAAGCCCAGCACGACCTGCGTGAGGTTGGTGGCTCCCCGTGCTGCCCGTGACACTGCCGGGGGAAAAACAACACGGCAAATGTGCAGGTCCTGGTGCTGTTCTGCTTTGCCGTAGACGAACTGCGGCAGTGCCAGCAGCGCGGCCAGCAGCCAGGCCAGGCCCACCGTCAGCCAGCCGTGGCGACGAGCCCGTGGGCGCAGGCGGCACGCGGCTGGCACCCGCACAATGGCCACGTAGCGGTCCATGCTGATGCAGGTGAGGAAGAGGAAGCCGCTGTAGAAGTTGAGGGCATAAACGCCCTGCAGCACCTTGCAGGCAGCTGTGTCTGGGGACCAGCCCTGCAGCATCACAGTGACGGCAAAGGGCAGCGTCAGCAGCAGCAGGAGGTCAGATAGGGCCAGGTGCAGCAGGCAGACGTCGGTGATGCTGCGTGCCCGGCGGTAGCGGGTGTGTGTGAGCAGCACCAGCCCGTTGCCCACCGTGCCCAGCAGCGAGAGCAGCAGGTAGATGGCCGGCTGGTAGGTGCGGGCGAAGCCCTGCACTGCCTGCTTCTCACACAGCTCAGGCAGCGTGCCGTCATCCCACGAGACGCTGTACTCCCAGGTGTAGAAGTCGGTGGTGGCCGTTATCACCATGGGGGTGGGGTTTGCCTGCACAGAGGGATTGGTATCGAGAGATCACAGAATCACAGCCAAACTGCTTCAGAAGAGACCTTACAGCCCCCTGAGCCCCACTGCCCTCACTCTCTTTTAGTTTAAAACCATTCTCTCTTGTACTGTCACTGTCAGATCGTGCGAAAAGTCGCTCTCCTTTCTAGTGAGCCCCCTGCAGGGCTGCTCCGTGGTCTCCCTAGGTTACTCTCTCCGGGCTGAGCACTCCCCACTCTCTCCATTTGTCTTAATGGGAGAGATGCTCTAACCAGGGATGCCCGCTGCCCTCTGCCCCACTGCAGTGCACAGCCCCCACCCAGCCCCACCAAGCAGCCCCGCTGTGGGGAGCCCTGAGGGTGGCTCAGTTTCCGTCTCACGCCCACTTGGAGCAGTGGCAGATTCACCTCGATCAGTCATTGCGAGAGCAACCGGGACCTTCCCGCACTCCCTGCTGCAGCACAGTGCTAGTGGAGCAATGTCACCCCAGCCCCAATGTCTCTGATCTGATCCCATGTCCACGAACCAGCTCTGACCCCATGGGGCTGCTCCAAGTGATCCCCAGGAGCTCACACTCGACTCACAGTCCACAGTGTCGCCTTGCAGGTGACCCCATGCAACCATCCCCAGCCTCGGTGCCAGTGGCCCCAGGTGCTGTGGGTGCAAAGGGACCTTTCCAATGCATTCAAATGCCCACTCGTGCACTCTGGGTTTGACACTGATTCCAGGCAGAATCCGTCCCCAGCAGCTCCCCAGCTCCTTCCCTGCTCCAGGCCTGGGGACTTGGAGCACCGAGTGCTGCCCTGCTTGTCCCTTACAGCCCCCTCAGCCCACAAGGAGCACAAGAGAAAGTTTAAAAGTAAAAGCAAGAGCCAGAGAGCGATGTGCCCACCAGACCCTGTGAAATCCTCTCTCCGCAGCCCCTCACCTCCTCCATTGCACAGCAGGACCTCTCCCCTCCTCACTCAGAGGCTCCAGAGCCGTCAGTGTCTTTGAGCTCTGCAACCTGTGGTTTGACCGCGTGCCGCACCCGATACCGAGAGATGTGCTGAGAGTACAAGCCCAGCCCCAAGGGGGAAGGAGAAGCAGCCATGACCCTGCTCTGGAGCCGCGTCCTGCATCTTTAGTTTGTGGCAATTTTCTGCATGCTGAGGTACAGAAATAACTGTGCTCTGCTTAGCTCTGGTGCTGCAGGGCTCGGGGATGACACCCAGGCACGGGGAGGAGAGACAGGCTGAGGACACCCAGCACTCGCAGGAGTTCCCAGCCCAACAGGGCTGCTGTCGGCGTCTCCCACTCTGCAGCACGGGCTGCAAGCAGAAGGCTGTGCAAGAGCCAGAGGGAAGCAGTGCCAAAGAGAGTGTGGGACTGCTGTGGGCTGGCACTGTCCCAGAGCAGCAAGCAGAGATGTGTTCAGCTTGGGCACTGCTTGCCCTGATGGGAGATGGCAGTTGCAGGAACTGCTGATGCATGGTATCCCCCTTGCCCACAGGGTCCCACACTCTGCTCTGCTGCTGTGCCCCTGTGCTCCATCAGTGCTGGGCAGGCGGTTTGCTGGTTGTTGACAACACCATTCCCAGCCCCTCCTTATGGGCCAGATTAGGATCTGCAGGAAAGAGGACCCATTTTGCTCTCCCCAGCAGGGAGCAAATTGATTTCAGGCTCTAGCAGGCTTTTTGCCTCTTGTAGCAATAATCCCTCAATCCCCCTTTCTCCCAGCAACAGTCATCTTTCCATGGCTTATCTCAGCTCTGTGCAGAGTCCCTACTGGCCCCAGGAGCTTTCTGCTGGTGCCCTGGGGCCATGGAGCTGCTGCAGGCTGGGCATCCGCAGGGTTCTCCCCTCCCTGCCCTTACCGAGGCACATACATGCTCTGGACCTTTGCTCTGTGCCTGCTCTGGGGGTGCCATTCTGCTGGGGGAAAGGAAGGGACACAACCCTGGGACAAATGTCAGGATACAGCCTGGTTGGACCCACCAGCACTGCGAGGAGCTGGGAGCTGGGAGGGCCCTCAACTGCATCCACATCCCCAGGGACGTGGCTCCAGCTCTTAGCAGCAGCACACGCCACCAGCTCTCCTCACAGCCCCTCTGCACCTGGGTCTTTCTGTTCCCTCTTTCACCACCTGCTCTGGCCTCAGCTCAGCTCCTGCACAGGAAGCAGCCCCAGCACCACTGCAGGTGACGGCAGCATTGTGGAGTGCTGGGCTCTTGCCGAGCACCAGGACCAGCAGCCCCCAGAGCATCCCCATCCCTCAGGGCTGGATCCCCATAGGGCACCACATGGTCTGTGGGGCAGGTGGCATATGTAGGGCACACAGCTGCCAGCCCCCTCCCCCGTCCCCACCGTGGGCGTCTGGGGATGTTTGGGAACAGTCGCGGGCTAAATCCAGCTCTTCTGCGCCACTGGGAAAGACAGGTGACCCCTCAACCCGCAGGCCTTAATCTGCTGCTTGATTACAAACCACCACCACATCTGCTGCAAGAGGGCTGGCAGACACCACTTAAATCCTTCCCTGCTGCAGCTGTGGGCACCGGGTGCTGGGTCACGTCTGGGGGGGCCCGCACCACGAGCCACCGGCGCTGCTCACCGTGCGCGATGCCCCCCACAGCACTCACCCCGTGCGTCACTCCCCGCGCACCCCTTGTGCAGTGCGCTCCCCGCACGGCTCTCTCCCCACGCGCCCCCGCTCCACTCCTGCAGGCCGCGCGCTTTGGGTGCCACGCGGGGCCGGGGCTGCCCCGTGGGTGCCGGCGGTGATCGGGACGGGCACCCCGAGGCCGCTCGAGGGCTGTGGGGCGGCAGGCGGGGTGCTGGGGAGCTCTGCGCTTTGCCCCAGCGCCGCCCGACCCGGGGCCGCCCCACCGCCACCGCCCCGTGGGCGGAGCCGCCGTTCCCGCTTCGCCGCGCGGCTGCAGCACCGGGAGCGGCGGCGCCGAGGGCGCTCGGGGCGCTCCAGCGATGGGCGTTCGCCGCCTCTTCGGGTTCCTGCTCGCCGCTTGCGCCGCTCTCCTCGGGCCCGGCCCCGGCTGCCTCGCACGTAAGTGGGGCCGCGGTCCCGGGAGCCGCCGCTCCGCACTGCGGGACGGAGCCGCGTTGCCCGGCACCCCCCGACCTCCCCCTCCCCTCGAGCCTCCCCCTCCAGCCCCGTTCCCCAGTTCTCATGGGCATCCCCTGGCGCCCCGCTCCGGGCTTTTCCCAAGGTCACCCCCGGCTACGGGCGTTCCGGCGTCCCCCCCCCCCAGCGCCACGCCCGGGGCCGCCCAGCCGCAGCCCCCGCGCCCGTGCAGGGCCCTGCCTGCAGTCTTCCGTGACCCCGCACCGGGAGCTCTGGGATGCGCCGGGCGTCGCGCCCCGCGCTTCACATCCCGTCCTCCGAGCGCCCCGCATCCCGAGCGTCGCGGGCCGGGAGGACGCAGCTCCGTGCGCCTCCGCCAGGACCACGGGCAGCGCCGCGCGGCTGCGGCAGGGAGGGCGGGGGGGGGGGCGAGGCCCAACGCCTGCAGCTCGGCGGGGCCGGGGGAAGCGGTGCGGGAGGCGCGGGGCGATGGAGGCGCAGAGGAAGGCGCGGGGGTGACGGCTGAGGGTGGAGCTGTGCGGGCGGTGGGTTCGGAGCGGCTGCCGTTGAACCCACGCGGAACAGAGGCTGCAGCCGACGCTCCTTCGGGACGGCGCCCCGGGGTCGGCCTGGCCCGGCACAGCTGTGCGGTGGGCTCGGGGACCCCGACCCCACCACATCCTCCTCTGCGGACGTCGCCTTCTCTGAAGATCTGCGGCTTTCTGACCCGGCCCCACCCGGGGGCTCCGGGCCCGGCAGCCGCCTCGGGCCGAGGGGTCGAGGCGGGGCGGGCGGCGGTTCCTCCGCTCCTACAGCACTGCGGAGGCTGCGGTGCGTCAGTTCTCGCCGCAGTGGGAGCGCGGAGGAAGGCGCGGACCCTCGGCCGGGGGCGCTGAGCGGTGCCTGCAGACCCGTCCCCAGAAGCGGGGACAGCGGGAGGGGCCGACGGCAGCGCCGCCCCCGGTTCTCAGCGCGGCTCGGCAACGCAGAAGCGCTGGGTCACGGTGCGGGGCTCGGCGGCTGCGGGCAGCGCGGGTCTGCGTCCATCGCCCGCGGATCCGCCACCTTCCGTCACCGCTCCTCCGTCACCCCCACGCCTCCCATCACGCAGCGTGGGGAACTGCCCCCCCCCACGCGTCCATCTCCCATGCGGCTGTCTGTGTGCGGTGCTGCGGGGATTGGGACGCCGCACCCAGCGCCCCGTTCCCCGCAGGGCCGTGTTACGATGAGTTGGTTGGATCCCTCTACTCCTCGTCCATCGGCGCCTCTTCCCGATACAACATCTTCTACTCAGCAAGCTTCGCCCGGCTGCACAGTGAGCACTCCCACCACGGGGACGGGAACAGCACGTGGGGACAAAATTCACGGGGTGTAGGGGCTGTGGGGAGGTCCCCCTGCAACGTTTCCCCCTCAGCATCCCCCTGATGTGCAGGGAGCTTCCCCTGCGGGTACTGGGCTGGGAGTGTTGGGGCTGCGGGTTCCTGCTGAGACCCCTTCCCCCCGCCCCGCTCCCATAGGCACTAGCGGGTGGTCCCCCGACCCCCGTGACAAGCAGCCCTGGCTGCAAATCGACCTGATGCAGAAGCACAGGATCAACGCAGTGGCCACGCAGGGGACCTTCAACACATATGACTGGCTGACACGCTACATCGTGCTCTATGGGGACCACCCCACCAGCTGGAAACCCTTCTTCCAGCAGGGCAGCAACTGGGTAAGCACTGCCCATCTCCCTGGGGGGTGGGAATCTGGGGGGGTGCAGGCAGTTGTTGCTCCAGGCTGAGCTGTGCCTTTACCACCAGACTTTCTTTGGGAATGTGAATGAGAGTGGTGTGGTGAGGCATGACCTGCACTACCCCATCCTCGCCCGCTACGTCCGCATCATCCCAGTAGCCTGGAACCCACGAGGGAAGATCGGGCTGCGCCTGGGCCTCTATGGCTGCCCCTACCGTGAGTACTGACCCAGGGGTTCCCGTGTGGGGAGGGGCTCAGCCCCATAGCTGCATGGCACTGGGCCAGCTTTTGTGCAAATGCCAGAGCCGCAGTCTGGCTCTGGCACACGCCAGAACCCTTTTCCAGCTTTCATTAGAGATTATACAAACCTGCCTCGATGGTCAGGACTGTCAGACCTATGTGCTCCCCAGCGTCGGGGTGCCCACTGCTGCAGGGCAATGACACGGCGCTGCCTCACTCTCAGGATCCCATGTGCTCTACTTCGATGGGGATGATGCAATCTCCTACCGCTTCCGGGCCAAGAAGATCAGCACCATGGAAGATGATATCTCCTTCAACTTCAAGACAGTGGAACAGGATGGTGTGCTGATGCATGGGGAGGGTTCGCAGGGTGACTACATCACAGTGGAGCTCAAACAAGCCCAGCTCCTTCTGCACATCAGCTTAGGTGAGCCGGGGCCGGCGGGAAGAACTGAGGTGGGGCTGAGGCAGGAATACAGAGTGACTGTCCGCCCTCCCCAGGCAGCAGTCCCCTGCACGCCACCGAGGGCCACACGACGGTGGCGGTGGGCAGCCTCCTGGATGACCAGCACTGGCACTCGCTGCACATCGAGCGCTACGGCCACCACGTCAACCTGACGCTGGACGGAGAAGTGAAGCGCTTCCGCTGCCACGGCACCTTCGACCACCTCGACCTTGAAACTGAGGTGGGTGTGCAAGCAGGGATCGCCGGGCTGCCGGCTCTGTGCTGTGTCAGTGTGAGGCTGAGCCCGCCTCTCTACCTCCCAGATCTTCTTCGGAGGGGTGATCGACCAGGACAAGCAGCACCTCACCTACCGGCAAAACTTCCGTGGCTGTGTGGAGAACATAATCTTCAATGGGGTCAACATCGCTGACCTGGCCCGGCACCGGAGATCCAACATCCGCTTCGAGGTCTGACTCCACAGCCCCCACCAGGGGCAGGGGTCCTTCCCTGGGGATCGCTGTCACTGAGTGACCCCATCCCTAGAGCCTCATCACTGCTGTGGGTGACCCCTTTCCCGGGGCTATATTTCCCTTGCACTGGGGTGATGTGATGCTGGCGGCTGCTGCACTCAGCCAAGCAGTCCCGCG